GGGAGAACATAGTTTGCAACATTTACTTGGATGAAAGAGTTCTCTGCCCGCCTGCTCCACAAAGTTATGTACAAAACTACACCTGGGATGTCAGGCTGCTTCGTGATCAGGCCTTGGAGCCAATGCAGCAGGGGCAGAGGAATTATTTCCTCAAAGAGTAATCCAGCTGTACAAAGTTGGTATCATTACATCTACTCACCAGCTATGAGTCTGATACCATATTTTCTCAGTGCATGACACTGAGGTGAATTTATGTATTGCCTTTATCCTTCCTACCAACCAGTTGCGCTATCAGTGCTCCGCATGACTGAGTATAAATTATGCATTGCCTCTATCTACCTATACCACCAACCAGTCGCGCTATCACTGCTCCACACCCAGCTCTTGCAAACAAGGTCAGAAGGCTACATAAATGGTATGCACTAAATAGCAGTCTTCGAAAGACTGAGCCACTGTAATTTATTTATTGGTTTGTATATTGGTTCTCAGGACCTTAATGACGTTCTAAAAAGATTTATTGGCAAGACCCCACTCAAAGAAAAGGCAAATCTTAAAAAGCAAATAATCATCTAAATACAAAGCCAAAAGGTCTGCTCAACAGAGAACAAGAAACCCTGCTTCAGCTTTATGGTGACATCATGATGCTGTGGCCGATGCTCTGTAGATCAAGAGGAAAAATTCATGCTTTTTCATTCACTTTAATCATGTATTCCGCGCGGATTTCTTGGCAAAGAATATGCCTTTTTCTCCAATGCTAATTCCTCCGCAAGAGCCGGAGGACTCGCGGAGCGTTGGTTTTCCGCGTGCCCGGCGAGCGTCTGGGATGGTGTTGGACGCCACCATTTACCTTCTATTCAATGTCCAATTTTTGATAGCTTCAAAAGCAGTTTTAATAAGGGTGCTTTTTGAAAAGAATTGTAAATTTGTTCATCAATATATGATTAATTCACCCTATATTTATGCTAGTGTGACGTCATATACTTAAGTAACAATTTGTAGTGTTACGATGATTTTTACGTACAATTGAGAAACGTTGAAGCGTGACGCTTTGAGTGCGGGCTCGGACCCGGCGTCTGAGGGCGTCGGTGTCGTTGGACGGTATGGTGGGTTTAACGTGTGCTGGTGAGCAGCAGCAGACCTGGACACTAAGTGCATTTAGAGGAAATATTGTGTGATATGGTAGAGAGATTCGGCTGTAACCGCGAACAGTGTCCCTCATTTAATCGTGTGAGAGTGGCACGCGATGCTGTCGAGGTTTCAGTAACAGCTTGTCTTCATCTGACGTCGCCCACGGAGAACAATTTTTACATCCATTCCAGTGTATATTTGTGAAGAACAAATGTATTGGGGCTTTAAAATACCAAGAAGCACCCCAAGTTTCAGACACTGGTGTAGTATGCTGAAAACAATATTACTGACAGGCTTCATGGTTAAAGAGTTGTCCCTTCTTCTAACGCTTTTCATTCAAACCTAGATTAGATTTATTCTGAAGGGTTTGCATAGGTGGCTTTTGGTTTAGTTTTAGTTGCTAGGCTATCATTGTCAGGTTTTGCTATATGTTCCCTGAACCCCCCACCTAACTTGTGCCATCCAGTTCCTGGAGACTGGCCAACCCTGCCTGCAAAACAATGTGCATGCTCTGGGATTTGTACCCAGTGCTGCTGGATTGATGTTTGCAATGCACTTATTGGCCAGTATCATTGGGGTTGAATGATATGAGAACCCGAAGCACTTTTTAGGGGATGAAGATATCCAAATATGAGGTCATTAGCTCATAAAATCAACACAGCATGATATTAATGTGCAGTAAATTGCATGAGAGCTGGAAACACTTTTTGGGAGGGAAAGTTATTCAAAAATGAGATCGTTAGCTGGCAAATTCTACAAAAAATACGTGCAGTGTTTTTTTTTAAGTGTTTTGGCAGTAAATCATCCAGCATTGGTCGGGGGACAGGATCCACATTACACCACCTTTCACTGGTTTTCATTCCACTGCTCTAGAGCAAATCTAAGGCCTTAGAGACGGGCAGCGTCGGTTAGCAGCGCACCAGTAGCGCTCGTGCACATTGAGTCAGGGACGGTGAGGACGCGAGAGCCCACTTGATCCTGTTTAACGTGGCCTGGTGATCAGGAGTTCAGCGAGATGCCAGTAATGGTCTGAGCGGGTCCTTGGGCACGTTCAGCCGTCGTGGAGATCACCGCCGGGAAATCAGCCGACTGAATGACCAGGCCCATGAGCCACCGGAGAGTGGGCACGTCCGGTACTGGGAACCCAGCAGAAGCTTACAGCTGTCATGGGCCCGCTGTCTTCCCTTCCCGGGACGCGCTGTAGCTGCAGTGGCTGACCCTGTCGGAGGCGATGATGAGTGTGTCCGCCCGCAATGTGATGTGACGCCGGGGGTGGTGCTCGAGGGCGGCCGCACCTGCTCGGCTTGGCCCAGAAAGCTGGCGTCTGAGTCGAAAACATCATCAGTCAACTTGCTCACGTATTCATCGCCAGCAGTTGCTTCATTGTCTCGTCACTCTCAAACCCGGTTGAAACCAGGCCCATGGGTGACCACAGAAAATTAAGTATTCCCAAGGTGTTCAGAATGTTGTCGGAATCAGAGGTACGCGGTTCGATTCCCCGCAGTGCCCGCTGTTCCAAACAGAGTGAGAAACAGGCGACGCCATAGCGACGCCTCAACAGCTGACTACGTCGGAAAGCTCCAGTCATGATAAATTTACTTGTAATGTAATTTCCCTGAATAACTGTGAACGAAATTCAATTGGGATCCAAAACGACCATGAATTGTAATGTAGTGAACGTCGCACGCAATTCGTGGAGAGTCCATGTCCATTCGCGGAATGACATCTGGTTCTACTTAAAGTAAAATGACTCCATCGCCGCTCTGAAGTGTTGACTGGGTTATTTGGGCTCGAAAATAGATTAACTGGGTTTAAATCCAGGTTCAAGGGGTTTACCAGAGCATGCGAGCATGCCTTATAGATATGCTCCGAAGGTGGCATAGTCCCTGCATTATGGCTTTGCTACTTCAGTGTGACTGGTATGTGTCACTTATTTTTTATACCTGGCATGCGCAGCTCTTGTCACGGCAATGCGATCTCAAACGCGGAAAGAATTGGTGTCGCGCTGTGAAATCGTCCGGTAGGAATCCTTCAGGACGTCACATAGAAAAGCTCATTCTCGGCGTGCTGCGAATACACCCTTAGTCTGAATGCTGCTACTTATTGTCTCTTGGTGTATTTGCTGATCTGTTCTGTTGAAATAGTTATGCCCATTTAGCTGATGTACCTCGAAGTAATGCGATGTTACGTTGAAGTGTGTACCTGAAGTTAATGCCGGATATCCTGATGGACAACGTCGGTAACTGCGTCTGTCTCATTCCAGTTGAGGAATGAGGGAGCCTTGGCTGGCAATGACTTCATCAAGCAATACCTAGAGAAGCAGCAGGCGCAGCTCATCCAACAGCGTGAGGCCCGCCGTAAGGTGGAAGGTGGGGCTGTCAGGCTTTTAATCAACCGGGCCGTGCCGCACTTACGACATGCATGCGGACGCACTGGGGACGACCAAGGCTGACGGCTTGCGGGGGTGCTTTCGCTTCACATTTGCATGATGTGCATTCGTGTTTCAAGGCGTTGCCGTGGAGTTAGACCGGCGGGGTTCTAGCGAGTTACCACGTGTGGCTGGGGTGTCTTAGATGCATCCCCTGAGCGAGACTTCTGGGGCGTTGTGTTGTGTTTCGTGGTTGGAAACGAACAGAGTATCACATTTTCGACTTCTTCGCCTGCATGCCACAATGGTCTTCGCCGTTCTAAACCAGGTCATCGGATGCCTGGGCCGTCCTCACTAGGTTCCATGAATTCTACCCACTGAATGGAAGTAGTTGACAAGTGTGATTGGAATGGACTAACAGAAGCTAGACAGGTGATCTAATTGTGGAAGTAATTTTAAGCGTTCTTTACTCATTGCTCGCCATGTCTGGCTGGGTGACGGTATTGACAGTGTGCGTGTCGGCCAGGTGACGGACAGCGCGGGTCCCAGTCGGAGAGCGCCGACAGCCAGGAGGAAGAGGAGGTGGACACGGCCCGCGAGCGGCGCCCCACCAGAGGTGAGCACGCACTGCCGGCTGGCGCGCCGATGCTGGCAGAAGGCTGCAAGGCGGTGTGATGTCTGAAGGTGGCGTTGCCACTATTCGCTTTGCTGGATACAGTTTGTGTGTGCTGTGTGTAAATTTTAATGTCTTAGAGTGGTTTCTGTAAGCAGCTGTGTCAGGTGGATTAAGGATGGGCTTTTTGTTCCAGGAGGATCGTCGGAGCAACGCGACCAAACGTTTAAAAAGCCAGAACCCGAAGAAAAGGTAGGCTGACACGATATTGTCGTATGGGATACCTAATTATCGATAGATAGTCAATGCTATACAATATTTTCTTTGAGGAGCCCTCATTTCATGCTGTTTTATGTTTGCTTCTACACACAGCTCCCAGGATATGTGCAAACGTGACCTACAAACACCTATTAGTGATGAGGCTTTTAATGTTGTGGCATTAGGCATGTCCCGCTCTAGTGTGCAATGGAGGCTATCGAGCTTTCTCAACGTTGCGCTATGGACGGATTTTGAACACAAGTCTCATGGTCCGAATTGCATCGCAGGTGGTGGTGACGGCGATGTCCCCATGTCTCCCGTTAGGCCTACGCAGCTAACTGTACATCGTGTGCCACAGACGTCGCCGCGCAAGGCCCGGCCTTCGGAGGCGGCCGAGCCGGACGGCGGCGCGTCGCCACCGGCGGCGCCGGCCGGCCGCCGCACGCGCCGCCACACCGCCTCCACAGACACGGACGGCGACGAGCCGGAGCCGCCGCCGCCGCCGCCGCGGCGGAGCCGGCGCGGCCCGCGGCCCTCCACTGACGACAGCGCCGCCGAGCGGCAGGACCCCCAGCCGGAGGAGGAGGCCGGCGGTCGGCCGGCGGCGGCCAGACGGACGCTGGCTGACGGAGGCGGCGGTGATGTGCAGGAGAAACCCGCTGCCGGCGAGACGGAGGAACGGGCGGAGAAGGGGAAGGTGGAGGAGGCTGAACGGAAAAGGCGGGAAAGCAAGGAACAGGCAGAACAGATAGAGAGCAAGGAGATGGAAAAGAAGCGGGAAGAACAGAGAAAGGAAGCGGAGCGAAATGAGCGCAAGAGGAACGAGGAGAGAGGAAGCAGAGAGAAGGGAGCGTAAAAAAGATGAGGACAGAAAGGAGGCGGAGGAGAAGGAACGGAAGAGAGAGGAGGAAAAGAAAGAGATGGAAAGACGAGAAAAGAAAGAGGCCGGGCGGAGGGAGGATGAAGAGAGGAAAGAGGTGGAAAGGCGTGAACGGAAGGAAGCCGAACGGAAAAGGGAACAGGAAAAAGAAGCGCGAAAAAAGGAAAAGGAAGAGGCTGAGCACAGGCGAGAGGCGGAAAAGAAAGAGGCTGAAAGACGTGAAAGGAAGGAGGCGGAACGAAAGAAAGAGTTATTGAAAGAGGCTGAAAGGAAAGAAAGAAGAGAATATGAGCGGAAAAGAGAAGAAGAAAAGGATGCCGAGAGGAAATCGCGAAAGGAGGCCGAGCGGAAGAAGGAGGAGGAGCGAAGGAAAGGAAAGAGGAACGTAGGAGAGAGGAAAAGGAGAAAACAGAAGAAAGAAAGGAGTCCGATCGCACTAAAGTGGATGAAAAGGACGTGAGAAGGACTGAGAGGAGGGAAAGGAAACACTCAGGAAAGCGAGATGCAGAGAAGAATGATGAGGCTAAAGAATCAGCTGATGATGGGGGAAAAGCTCGCTCCGGAGAGACGGGAAAAGTCTCCGAAGCGAGGCAAAAAAGGAGGGGCCCTCCAAGAAAGACGAGGTACCGCAGAAAATTTCGCCCACTACGGTTGGAGGAGATGTGCAACAAGTTAAGGAAAAGAAGTCGATAAACAAGGATGAGTCTGGCGTTACAGAGCCAGAAGTGACGGGAACAGACAGTACATCTGTCACGTCGGACCATGACCAGCCGCCGGAGAAAAGCCTGGGGAGGCGTCGGTCTGACCCCACAGCAGAAGGCTCAAGCCCAGCGAAGCCCCCCGGCAAGGGAGACGAGGAGTCGCAGAAGAACAAGGAGTCTCAGAGGGACAAGGAGTCCCAGAAGGATAAGAAGTCTCTGAGCGATAAGGCTGAGGATGAACCCACAAAGGACAAGGAGTCCCAGAAGGACGAGGAGTCCCAGAAGGACGAGGAGTCCCAGAAGAGCAAGGCTGCTCACAAAGATCCCGAGAAGGAGAAGGAGTCTCAGAGGGAGCCACAGAAGGCGGCCGACGCCGGCGACGAGCGCAGGCGGTCGCGCGCCGACTCTGCCGAGCGGCAGCGCCGGCGCCACCGGCGAGACTCGGAGGAGCGGCGTCGGCGCCGCTCGCGCGACAGCGGCGAGCGCGACTCGGCCGAGCGCGGCGGCCGCCACGAGCGGCGCCGACGCCGCTCGCGCGACGACGAGCGCGACCAGCGGCGCCGCCGCTCGGGCGACGAGGAGCGGCGCCGGCCGCACCGGCGCTCCGAGCCCCAGCGGCCGCGCGCGGGCCGTGACGAGCCCCGCGACGATGAGTGGCGCGAGAACGCCGACTTCTGGCGCGTCAAGCCGGCCGAGGTGGGTCGGGCGGGTCCGCTGGCGGGGGGTTTGTGCGATTGTGGCCGCGGGTTGTGGGCTGTTAGCTGCAAACAATTCGCAAGGCATTCTGAGGTGGTATTTTGCCTTTGTGTAATTGGATCTGGCCCACTGAAACGGCATTTGTGAGTAATATCGTGATTTGTGGCGTCCCCGAAAGTCAGGTTGTCTTATTTGGCATTGTTTATCTGATCATTAGTGATGTAGTGTTTCTTCAAGTTTGATGTTAGACCTCCATATCCAGGTTTCTCTTGGGTATGGAGGTCTGACATCGAAGTGGTGAAGGAAACTACTATTTTGTAAGGCAAGTGTCTATTGTGCTTGCTGTGAACCATGGGCGTTTCTGGCAATGCATAATGCCCGTTGCCCCAGTTGAGCGGCGTTTTAAAGCATGCGCGCCCACTTCGCTCACCCCTCACTGGCCTTCAGCAAGTACGGCTGCCATGTCAACACCCGGAGGACTTGGAGTCGAGCCCCCTCAGCTTGGAGTCGAGGCCCCTCTCTTCCATTCCCCTCCCTCACCACCGTAGTTGGATGGAGCCGGTGTCGACCGCTGTGTTGGCCCGTTTGCCACTGACGTCAGTTAATTTGTTTCTTCTTCAGGGCGAACGAGACCCCACCTCCAAGAAATCGGCGGACAAGCGTGACGCCAAAGACGAGGAAGATACTAAGTCCGACACCAAACGCACGAAAGATTCCGACGAGGGGCCAGTCAAAACAAGCCGGACAGAGCTTGACGAAGTACAACCTTTGAAGAAAGAGGAACGGCGCAAGATAAAACTGAAACGCAACACAAGTGCCGGAGAAAAACGGTGAGCTCCTTCGATCGCTGATTAATCAGTGACTTGGCGGTTCTTGAACACACGCTTGGGTGAGGGGGGGGGAGGTCAAATTGACCCCCCCCCCCCGAGGTTTTCCCGGAATGGTTTCCGAACGGCGCGACGTAGCCGCGTCAAATTTTGTATAGCTGTAGACAATTGAATAGCGGACTGCGGTGCGCGCCCTTCCTGCCAGGGTGAGAGGCAGGCGACGCCACATAGCCTCAGCAGCTGATTTTGTAAAGCCCCAATGGCACACAGTTGACTAGCGGATCATCTGACATCAAAAATTTATATATACCTTGTAGGGTCACTGACCTATGGCAGGTCAAAAGCAGGCCATGGTTTCAGCAAAGGCACGTTCTAGGGAATCGTTCAATCCTATCAAACAACAGAGTGTTAGATGAAGCGATGCATCTCTGAGATACTTTCTTAGGCAACACAACAATTGCATAAAAAAACATTAACTTAAGGTCAGGTATGAAGGTCAGACTGAGGTCAAAACCAACTTGTTTTATTACTCTTGGGCTTGCTGTATGGGTTGGCTTCTGGTGCTTATTTCGAATACATTGATAGCAGGAGCCGCATTATACACCTTCCATAGACTTCTTACAGGTGAGAATAGGTCACTGCCTAAAATGACCTAGGTCAGCATTTGTTTTTTAGGAGCATACTGCCTAGCATTATCTTTGTTGCTTATCTAAATGCACAACTCAAAACAGTCGTAGATCGTTTTGGCCATCATGACCTTTAAGAGGTAAAACAAGGTCACTGACCTTAACCGAACGTGTGACATTTTGATTAGAACAGTTGCCTAGGTTTTTGGGGGCCCTTTGAAGACCAATCTGGAATTTGACCTTGGTTAACCCTATCTGACCCGAAAGTCATGACCTAGGAACTTCAAACTTTGACCTAAGTGAGTTCACGTACAGTTCAACACACCCTGTGAATTTTGTCTCTGGCTCTCTTAGTTCCCGAGATCCAGGGGGGAGGGGTCAAATTGACCCCCTCCACCCGAGCGAAGGGTATCCAACCGGCCACCCGGGCGCGTGTTAAAAGGTCAAACAATGTCATTGACCTTGACGGAGCGTGTGACATCTTTCTTAAAACAGTTGCATGGGTTCTATGGGCCGTTTGGAGACCAATCTGGGATTTGGTATAATTTGACCTTGTTTGACCCGAAGGTCATGACCTAGAAACCTCAAACTATGACCTAAGTGAGTTCCTGTACAGGTTAACACGCTCTGTGAATTTAGTGTCTCTAGCTCTCTTAGTTCCTGAGATCTCAGTGGGGGTCAAATTGACCCCTCATCCCCACCCGAGCGAATAGTATCCAACCGGCCACCCGCGCGCGTGTTAACCTTAGTTTTAACGAAACTTCAAACAGCCAGGTCCTTGCATTCGCCGCGGATCGCTACCTTCAGACAGACCCTGATTAGAGTGGCATTTCCGCTCTGCTATCATGGCCTGACCGCGGGGACTCCACCAGCTGCGGACGCGACGTGAACACGCATGTAACGCGCTTATCCCACGCACACGTGCTGATATTGGTGAGCGGCCGACGGGCTGCGACCGTGACCCACGCCATGCCGTCCTGTTCCAGGCCGGAGCCCACCGAGGCGGCGCCGGAGCCGGCTGGGGACGCTGCGACGGAGCGGCGCTCACCCAAGAAGGCCGGCCGCGCCAGGTACGGCGTCGCGCGCGCCATCCCCCCGCGCGGAGCGTGGCGCCCGGCACCTAGAGCGGCACTGTCACCGCGCTCCGCGTCGGCCTGTGCCGCCTCATCACTGAGCTGACACAAAGCTAGCCATCTGACTAGAAAAGTATTTTTGAATTTGGCACTTTTAGACCGTGACGGCGGCGACATGTTTCGTTGGTCGGCGTAGCTTGCTGCTCCTCTGGGTGCATTTGCAGCTTTGACTTTATTGTATTTTTGAGGTATTGGTGTGCCCGCCATTAGGACCCCAGGTGCTCCTACCTGTGATTGCAGCCCATAGTGTTGACTTACAAGGATGTCAGACTGCTTACTGCAGTTTGCGCTCATGGTAACGTATTCATGTTGTGTCCGCTGTACGCACGCAACTTTACAAGAGCCCTGGTGGATGCCGACGGAGGTCGGAATCAGTCGTTTTCCGTTGTGTTCGCCCAGAGCGGGTGTATTGGTCTGGGTGGGCCTTACAACAAATTATTGGCATCAGCGTCGTGCTCGCCCAGCCCGAGTGGTGGCGCGTGCCGCGGCCCGCTCTGGTCGTGCTGACCGGCCTGGGGCGCCGCCAGGTCGACCTCCAGCGACGGCGAGGCGGCTCCGGCGGGCCGACGCCGCCGCTCGCCCGTGCAGGCGCCGCCGGCCGCCGCGCCGCGCAGTCCCGAGGCAGCCGAGCCGGCAGCAGATCCGGAGTCGGAGCGGGAGCCCGAGCGGGAGCCGGAGCCGGCCGCCAGCAGTGCGCCGCCGGCCGCTGCCGACCCGCCTGCGCCCGCCTTCAGACGGCTCGGTGAGACTGCTTGGATGAGGCGCACGACGGTCGGCTCACCTGTAGCCTCCCTTAAAAAGACATTTAATGGTACATTTGCGGGATAATTTTTCGAGTTCTCTGTTTTTGTAGAATTTGTTCCACGAAGGGAAATGTGAGAATGACAACTGCAAATCACAAATTTACCAACCTACATGCAAATTTTAAAAATCGCTGGAGAACTTCTACGAACAACATTGTTATGTTGTGAACGGCCTGCTCCCACTCCTGTGCCCCACCCCGGCGCCGCCTGTGCAGGAAAAGTAAGAAGTCTCCGTAGAGCTCAGTCCACGGGGCCCTTTCATCAAGGTGTCCGTTAGCACAACTGGATAAAAGGGAACTAGGGCAAAAACCAAAAATTCGGACCCAGCTCGAAACCTGGGGAATTTTTTCCCTCGGGGCTTTCACCAAACTGGGCGTCTCCGTCCCTCTCCCCTCCCTCATTCCCCCAAGATTACCAAAATTCCGGATGAGTATGGCTTTGGTTTGTCTGGCTTTCTGATTCCACACCGAGTTTTTTTTTTGATGACATGACATTTGTCGGCTTAAGAGGAAAGAACAGTTTTGCCCGTCAGTTTTGACAAAATGCAAATATATCATCGTCATCGCAAACATCCAGTTTGTAAAATGCACGGCGCGGAGCCAGGCGCGTTGTTTGCTAGGCCAGGGCTCCAGCGACGTCAAGCCAACGTTGGGCGAGTGGGACGCCCGAAAGTGGGACGGTCACGCCTCTTATGTACCTTGGAAGCATCGCTGATTGCCGGCAACAAATTGCGCGGCGCCGAGTGTTACAACTGCGACTTTACAACGTGTGTGGCGTTCCTGGAACAGTTTAAAGTTGTGCTTTGCAGGTTCAAATGACAACTTACAAACGCAAACGGTTTGTAACAAATCTTTGGAAGAAATGCCTCTGGCGTTGTGCTTTTCGCTGCGTCGTCACAGACACAATCACAAAGCGACGTAAGTTCTAACTTTTCGTAAATTCGATCCGCGGACGTGCTAGGCGCCAGCTGTCGTGGATGAACAAGACTTTCCTGGTCTTTTATTAAGTGTGGCGTAGTACCGAGACATTGGTGTGGCTTCGTCGCGAGCTTGAGCGTGGACGGAAGTGACCCGCACCGCGCGGGCGGCCGGCCTCTAGCCTGACGCGACCTGGCGCCGGCAGTGTCGCTGAGGCGGGACCGCAAGCGGCGCGAGGACAAGGAGAATGACGCCGGCCCCGGCGAGAAGCGGCGCCGTCGCTGGGGCACGCAGCTCTCCGACGAGAAGAAGGTGGTCAGCATCTCGACCGACTCGCTCAAGGTGAGGCGCCGCGCCCCCTGTCCCCCGGCGCGATTCGGGAGATCTGGTGCCGCTTGCGGCGCTGCCTGTTGGCAAAGCTTCGGTCCGGCGCTGCTTCCGGCCAGCTGTCGTCTGTGTGGTGCTGGATGAAGCGCGGCGATTGGAGTTTTCTGTCGTGGCTTTGCTGGCTTTTGCTGTCGTGACGTTCAATTGTCGGACGGAAAACTCCATCCAAGGGGCTCAGAAGTTCGGATTGTGTGCGTTGGACAATTTTGGACATTCATCAATACCACCAGATCCGTTCGGATTTTGTGATATTGATGAATGCAAATGTTCGACAGTAGTAAGTTGTCCAATTGTGATGGAACACGTTAGCGAAGAGGGCTGGTTGGCGAGCCGCCAATATGTAACTGGTTTGTGGAGGCCCCACGCGCGCTGACGGCCTGTGCGCCGCCCCCCGCCTTGTCAGGACCTGGTGCCGGACGTGAAGCCGCTGCCGGCGGACGACGTACGGCTGGAGCCGGACTCGTCGGAGGGCGAGGTGGACTCTGAGCCGGCGCCGGGGGCCGAGCGGGGCAGTCCGGCGCCGGCCGATGCCGCCGGCGCCGGCAGTCCGGCGGCGCCCGCCGAGAACGGCCGGCCGGTCACGCCGCCGCCGCAGGAGGAGGGCCCGGCGCCGCCGCCCCTTATCAAGCGCACCGTCACGCAGGTGAGGCGGCGCGGCGGTCCGGTGCCGGCCCGCCGGTCCGGCGATGTGGTCCAGGGCCTGGGCGTCACAGGGCCCGGGCCCGGGACGGTCACAGGGGTGGGGGCCGCCTCCGAACGCCCCCGAGCCCTCCATCTGGCAGTCAGCCACTATGCTGGGCTGGAAGACATTGCCGACGTGTGTGCTCAGGTCCAAATTGTCCCGTCGTCGTCATATTCGGCGTGTTGGAAGCGCTCGTCTTTTGTGGCCCGTCGGGCGATCCTGCGCTACGACGTTTGATTTGCTCCGTGTTCTCCACGCCACTTGTTGTCGTCTGCCCATGCCCGCACATGTGCTCTCGAGCTATTGATGTGGCGCTCAGCCCTCCGGTATCCACGCGTCGTGATGTTTGCGTGTGTTGGTGGGTGTGGCGTGAAGTCCCTCGGCGACCACCGGTCCGTCCCGCGGTCGGCGCCGGAGCCGACAGACCACCGCTGTGCTGTCTCCGCCAGGATGTGCGCGGCGGTGGAGGCGGCCGCGCGGAGCCGGCGCGGCGGCCGCGCATGGAGCGCCAGCCGTCGCCGGCCCGGCACAAGGCCTCCAGCGTCGTCCTCATCCGAAACCTGGTGCGGCCCTTCACCGTCAATCAGCTCAAGGAGCTGCTGGCCAGGACAGGCAAGATCACAGACTTCTGGATCGACAACATCAAGTCCAAGTGCTATTGCCAGGTGGGTGGGAGACGTGGGAGGTCTGGAACGGGCTTTTGTGGTCCTTTTTAGCCAGTGTGATGTGGTTAAATGCAGGCTTGTCCGTGCTTGTGGAATGGTGTCGGAACGTATAGGGCGTGAAGGCTGTGGTCTCATGCGATAGGAAATACCGCGGACTTCCCACGGTGTGGAGCTTGCGTTTATCGTTGTTCCACACCCAGTCATCGGCGGGTTGCTACTTGGCACAACAGGAGTGAATTTAATTGGAGAGACCAGCGCGTCAATACACACGGGGACTAGTCCTGGTAGAATTCAGGCTCCCTTTGATTACCGATTCACGATGTAGGCCATAGGTCTCACGAGCGCGGTGGCTCGAGTTTGGAGGCCGCTGAGCCCGGCGACTCGGGTTTGGAGACTGCTGAGCCAGGCGGTTCGAGTTTGGAGACCGCTGAGCCCGGCGCGCCCCCGCCCGCAGTACGAGACGGAGGCACAGTCGGTGGAGACCCGGACGGCGCTGCACGGCGTGCGCTGGCCGCCGTCCAACCCCAAGAAGCTGCTCGTCGACTACTCTACCGCCGACGAGTTGGACTTCCACAAGGCGCTAACCGAGCAGATCCCGCGCAAGACCGAGCCGCTCAAGGTCGACCCGTACTTCGCCACGCGCCAGCAGGAGGAGCAGCGCGCTGAGACGGCGCGCGAGAAGCGGGTTAGTGGCCGGGCCAGCGGCGCAAGCGAGGCGCTCGGTCGGCGGGGGCAGTCTCGGGCGTGGCGTGTGGGTCTCGGGCGTCGGCAGACGACTCCCAGCAGGCTCAGTGGTGGTAACTATGGTTCGTCGGTATGAGCTGTTGGACGTGGGCGGGCCGGCTGACTGGGAATCTCGCCGTTTTGTAAGTCAGCCCATACATGCTTTCTACTGTGACCGAGTTTTGCGTTAACCATTTTCATTCCATGCAAGGCCCAAACCGAACCGAAGTAGTTAGTTTTTACGTCTAATTTTTCGTATGACATTTTACCTCGTGACGCCCGGTAGTTACGCTGCTCCTGGCCGCTAGTCATGTCAGCTGCAGATTGCTTATCTGCGCACCGCATGATACATGTTTTGCGTCAAGTCCCTCCCATACCGTACTTCACTCCGGTCCCCGCCATAGGTCCCCTCCCCAGGTCTGCTTCACGCAACGGTCAGGTCGACGGATGGAAGTGCAGGGCTAGTCTGTTGTCCGTAGTCCGCGCATCGCCTCGTCTCACCGCCCCCCGCGACGGAGCGGGGGGGGGGGGGGGGGGGCGTCAGCGCGGCGCGCGGTTTTGACTGGCGTCTGGCGCTCTGGCCCGGCAGCGGGAGGTGGTGCGGGAGTGGGACCGCGTCAAGATCGGCGAGACCAGTCCCGGCGAGAAGGAGCGCGAGCGCGAGCAGCGGCGCCGCGAGCGCGAGGAGGAGGCCGAGCGCAAGAGGAGGCGGAGCAGAAGCGCCGACAAGGAGAAGGAAGAGAAAAAGGGTGGGTTGGTGACGGTGCTCGCCGCAGTTGGTCATGCGCGGGCGTCCGGTGTAGTGGAGTTGTCACTCACATCCACACGAGGAGCCGCCAAATCGACGTATGAACAGACACGTTAGCGTTGCACGATGTATTGATGGACAAGTTTGGAAGGTGGACAGAGTCTTTGTGGGGGAGGGGGACATTAGTGTGGTGACCGGTGAACAATGGAGTTGTGGTCCAATGTATCGAAATGTGCCCAGTTACGCCGCATGTTGCATTGACTCAGGTCCGGTTGACACTTTCTTTCAACGGCTCTAGGACGCGACAACGGTTGGGACATGCTAAGGCGTGGAGGCCCTCAGCAGTGTCATATGCAACGACGTGGCTCGGTTCCTAACTGCTGATCTCTCCGGCTCCCACAGAGAAGCGGCAGAAGGAGGAGGCGCCGGCCAAGCTGCTGGACGACCTGTTCCGCAAGACCAAGGCGACGCCGTGCATCTACTGGCTGCCGCTGACGGCCGAGCAGATTGCCGACAAGGAGCGCCAGCGCCGGCTGCGCATGGCCGAACGCCAGAAGCGGCTGGACGCCATCCAGGCGGCGTCGGCGGCGTCGGCCCCGCGCCGCAGCCGCAGCCGCAGCCGGTCCGGCTCGCGCGAGCGGCGCCGCCGCTAGCCGCAGGCCGGACGGGTCTGCCGTGGACCGTCTGAGCACGCGGCCCAGGATCGACCGGCGCGACGCCCGATAGGAGGCCCCAGCACGCCAGTCGCCGCCCACCGCACTGTAATTCCTGGTTCATTTTATTAGTCTAGCCTCCGCGCCTAAGCACGTGCGCGCGTGAGTGTGTGCGTGTGTGTGTTCAGACGATCGTTCCCGAGCAGGTGAGTACGTCTTAGTTTGACGCCGTTCGCCGCCGGCCGCCGGCTCGGCGGGCGCCTGACCGTGAACCATTTTCAGGGCCGGACGGCGGCGCGATGCAGGTGAGTCTCCGCTGAATGACCGCTGATGTCCCGTTCTCCGCCAGTAGGTGGCGGCCTAGCGGGGTGAGAGCGGCCCGGGCGAGAGCGGCCAGTGCGCGCGCGTGACATGTTGTGGCCGGCGGGCGGTTGTGGCGACGCGCGGAGCGAGAGGACAGGGGCGCGGCCGGCCGCGGATGGCCACGGCGGCCCGGCCGCGCCTGGCCGGGCCGCCGCCGGTGGCCGGCCGGCCGCGCCGGACACGACGCCTGCGGGCGCGAGCAGCGCAGAGTGACCGCCGCGAGGCCGGAGCCGGAGCCCGACGGCGGCGCCTCGCCTCTGCCGCGGCGCCGTCGACGTCCAGCCGCCAAGGACGGCGGCGTCGCGCCCTCCTTCGAAGCGGTGCTGCACCGCGGCCTCCCCGGACGGGGACGCCGCATCCAGCAAGACTCGCCAGCACCAATCGTCCCGTGGTCGATCTATTTACATGGAAATAAACGTCATAGTTCAACGACAATACATTGTCCGTACACGGTTCGCGGGTGAGGCTCCAGAAAAACCTATAAATGGGGTGGATTCACACGTCAGTGGTGGGTTCACAGAGGGTTGCCTGTGCATCGCGCAGTCGGACCAGGCCCCGGTCACTATTGGAATAGTTGTTGCGGCAGTGGTGCACACTGCTCGCTCCCGCACCCCGCTGTCTGATGCATTCGCGTCCGCTGCATTGCTGTCCGAGGGATGTCGGCTAACTAGGAATCACCTGAAAAGGAGAGCCACAAGTCAGCGGCCATGGGGAGCGGGGCGTCGCTGTTGGAACGAGGCTCACGTGTGTTGCCGTTGGGATTAAATGATACTGGCTGGCTTTTGGTGGGGAATTGCGGCCTTTGGGTCCACATCTGAGAGACTTTGTTGATTACAGTTTACGGGCGCACCGACTGCGGTGGTCATTTGCTTCCGGGTACACGAGACTCAGATGTCCTCATCTGGGGACTAGGGCATCTGGGTCTCGTGTGCTCGGAAGCACGTGATGTGTGTGTATGGATACATCACGGTCGCTCCGCGGGCTCGAGGCATTCTAAATGTTTGTAATCACAGCGATAGTGACCAATGGCTAAGAAATGAACCGGCGCAACGCTCTGCACGCATTTCATGACATGCGTGCCTCTGGCTTACCTAGATCAGTTCTTCTTGTACTTGTCCGTGAACTCCTTGACCTTGTCCCACAGTTCGGTGGGGTCGTCCACCCGGGGTATCTGCAATCGGGACACAGACTGTGGGGGCATGCCTCCTTAAAAGGTGGCATGATCTGTGAAAATCTGTGAAAGTTGGCTGGTAAACTGGAGGTAGAAAATGCGACCAGCCCCAAAATGTGCGAAGTAAAGCAATCGCCGGTATCGGGCATTAAGTGGACGATTGTAAGCAACATTGCATCAAATGAGTGGTTCGGCGCGGCGTGCGTTAAAGTAGACACACGCAGTTTTTTTTTTTTGTAACGTCCCCATACAGTTTCCACCAAAAAGCAGTGGTACCGCCAGCGACGGGGATTCGGGATTGGCGGAGGTTACGCCACGGTAGATAATGCGCGATTGGCCAGAGCAATCCTAGCCCCACGCACCGCATAGTTTTGGCAGACGTAGACGCCCGCGTACATGCCGGCACCGAAGGACAACTGGAAACAGAGCGCGGTCGGTTAGCTAAGCTTGCCGCCGCCGACGCGCATTGTCACGCAATGGGCGGACATGGGAACAATGCGCAGCAAGGAGCACTGAAATGCTAGGTTTGTCGCAGTGGACACCGGTTGGTGGGCAGTTTTCGAATGAAATAGGCGTCCTCCGTGTTATCCGTACGGGTAACGGTACAGTAGGCTGTGAATAATCACTGCTCATTCTTTCGGACTGGGAGGGAGAGGTCAACGCAATAGCTCCCAGAATGCGCATGTATGGACGCCAAGGCATTACTGCGAACCCGCCGGGTTACCAGAAAATGGGAGCTCAACGATTACGGGCAATTCAGCACAAAGCCGGACCAAACCAATGCGCGTCTACTCAGTGGCAGATTGCTTGGATCGAAAGGTCAAACACACCAAGGCTAACAGTGCTCTACGGGGAAGCGGCTCGCCGTACAGGGACTATTTCGGGCCCAATGGTCAGCATCAAGCTCGAGCACATGGTACCACAACACATGGAGCCACTACGAAGACGGTGATTCGCAGCGCAGCCGTAACGTAACGTGACACCACGGGCGCCTCGGATACGTGACACACATTCCTGTCACACCAGGACGACACAAGACGACGCCGACAGCAGTGCGGCCTCCTGACACCAGCCGACAATAGATCGAGTCGTTACACCGCTCAGCGATGTGCGTCTCCGCCCCGACAATGTTCACAGCGCGACGATGGCGGCAGAGGAAGAGAAAATGGCTTCTTACTGCGCCACCTACTAATAAATGGGCGGCAATGAAGCCGACCATGACCAGGTCGTACAGGAGGACGAGCATCCTGCCACGGCCAGGTCACCGTCCGTCCATGGTCTCGACGGGTCAGCACGGGTCAGCACGGGTCACCGGCGATCAGCGGTCGCTCCGCTGTGCGCTCGCGCCGGGAGACCGTCACAAAGCCGCGCGCCACAGTGGGCGGCAGCCGTTCTGACCCCGCAAATAGCCCGGCCGTCGGGCCACGCTGCCAGAAATGCCCGCCGACGGCGCCCGCCGTCGGAGGGCGCTTCCGGCACCGCGAGTGTCTGGGGCTCGGTAATGAACCGGCGGACGACGTCCGGGGCTCGGTCCTGAACCGGCAGACGGCGTCCTGGGCTCGGCGCTAAATCGGCACACGGCGTTCGAGGCTCGGTACCGAACTGGCAGACGACGTCCGGGGCTCGGCACTGAACCGAATGACGGCGTCCGGGGCTAAGTAATGAACCGGAAGACGGCTCGGTACTGAACTGGCAAACAAAGTCAAAGGTTCGGTACTGAACCGGCAGACGACGTCCGAAGCCAGGTACTGAACCGACAGACGGCGTCCGGGGCTCGGTACTGAACTGGCAGACGGCGTGTGGGGCTCGATGTTGAACCGGCAGACGGCGTTTGGGGCTCGGTGTTGAACCAGCAGACGGCGTCTGGGGCTAGGGACTGAGCCGGCAGACGGCGACCGGCGCCTTCCTTGAACTTGGTCTCCTGTTTCTTGTCCCTTTCCACCTCTTCTCTCTTTAGGCTGACCATCTCCTTAAACGACGTGGAGGATGCGCTTTTGCTAGCATTCTTCAGCGCCAGGGTCCTCTTGAGAATGAACGATTCGCTTGCCCTCGATCACTTCTGCAGTTGGTGCACCCGTGGGTCAATCCTGCCCACGAATTGCTCCACGTCCGTGTTGTGCACGATCGCATCGTTTGGCATGTTGACCTGCTTCCCAACCGAGATCTCAATGGGGAACGCCTCCTCGTCCAGCCTGTATTCTCGTCTCCATTTCGCCAGGGTGACGTCCCAACTCCGACAGGACCGTAATAATCAGAAGCATTCCTCCGGCTCAAGAGCTATTGACACCACGGACTGCTGCACAGCTCGTCTGTAGCTTTCCTTCACAGCGCTGAAGAGGTTCTACGATACATCATGCAAGAACGTCTCATCCAGCAGGATGCAGGAGCTGTCCACGCCGCTGTTCCTCAGGCTCGTGTAAGGTCTTCATCTCTGTGCACATCGCCCCAAGAGCGATCGTGCAAAGAACGGCTAGATGCGTGTCGAGCAGGGCAAACGCCGCACACGCCGAACTCAAGTCCGGCAGATTGGGCAGCGTATCAGTATCATTGGGGCTTTACGACGCACTCAGCTGCTGAGGCTACATGGCGTCAACTGCCTCTCACTCTAGGCAGGAAGGGCGGGAATCGCAGGGAATCGAACCCTGTACCTCTGGTTTCCCAGACGTGCAGTGGTTAACGCAGACGCCGTAACCATTACATTACCGGCACCCTGATTGAGCAGCTTCATCACCAGGCCACTGTTGTGCCAAAGGCGATCTACCTGAGCCGAAAGGCCGATGAAAGATCGCGGATTACCGGATGTTTGGGGACAGGCTCAGAGAACTGGTGGAGCGCGACACCGCAAAAACTGCCTGTCTGACAGGTAAGGTGGATTCCAGTTGCCTGAATTGTATGCTACCGTGGATATCTCAGACCTTGGTGGATTTAGTCAACCCGGCGCCACTTGAGAAATCCCCTGTGCCGCCACTTGGGTGGTTAAAAGAACACTCCTGTTGCTCGGGACCTTATTGTCGCACTCCACATGTTCCAACATCATTCGACTATTCTGACTTTTTCATCATTGTAGCACTGTGCTGACACCGGTCATATGCCTGAAAACGACGTCACAGGTCAGTTGACACCCAGCAAAGTTCAAGAAGATTGCTGGAAACTTAATATGTGGTAGACACCAGTTTCGAGGTGGGAGGGGTAATTTCGGAAAACGGGACAATGTTCCTGTAAAAGTTTCTTATTTTGGTCAAGGACGGAGGTTCGCAGATCCATTTTTCGACTTTCGATGGTTGTAGATTTTAACATAAAGGCTACCAACCGGTAGTGCCTGTGGTCTACAAGTGAAACCGCAGATGGAAGTCAGAACTCAATATTGGAGCGACACATGACGTCCAGAACTGACTGCTGATTTCGTATACGGCGTCCAAATGTTCGATACAGAAGCAGCAGATGGCGTCAGGAACTGAGGAGCGAACTAGCAGATGGCGTCCAGGGTTCGACACAGAAACAGCAGAAGGTGCCAGGAACTGACTACCGATCCAGCAGATGGCGTCCAATGTTTGGCACAGAAACAGCAGAAGGCGCCAGGAACTGAGGACCGAGGCGGGAAAGATGTGCCCGCGCTGGTTGACAATATTAAATTGCTGTACCACAAAAACGGTCGATTTTGTTCAGCTATATTGAGTGGGTGAGAAAACCCATTAAAAGAAGTTTTGCTTGTCTGCTTGCTCGCTTGGTGGAATGGAATTCATGAATTTCTGATGATCATAAAGCAACATGCTGAGCAATTGCTCAATATAATTAATAAGTGATTTAACAGCACATAGGCTGTTAAGAATGCAAGAAATGATAAATTTATGTTTACCACCATACACTACATATAATAGAATATGTCTGATGCTTAAGGAATCAACTTTCCCAGCAAACACAATTTGGTGCAGGGACAATCTGACAAGGAAGTTTGTGACATGGATGAATGTCCAAGGGAGGAATATAACCTCATATTTATATTTATATGGTGCTTAATACAAATCAGTTATATGGGTCATCACATAGCCCAAGCACCGCACCAGGTGGACAGGACTGGTGCCGCACCAACTTCCCGGGCTTCTGGAAGATGCACGTAGCCAGGAACAGCCTCGACATGTCGCCGACCGAGAATCTCTGGGCGATTGCCAAGGAGGAGCTCAGCAAGATGTTGCTGGCCGCTTCAGAGAACACCCTGTTCCAAAACGTGCAAGCGGCGTGGCGGAGCGTCAGTGACAGTACATACACATACACTCTCGACAAC